ATGGACAGACCTAGAGGACTTTATGCTCAGTGAACTAAGCCAGACACAAGAGGACCAGTACCAAATGACGCCACTTACACCAAGTACCTAAAGGAGTCAGACTCACAGTGATGGAAAGTGGTAGGTTTGCTGCCAGGTGTTAGGGGAGGGGAGAGGGGAGTTCGTGTTTCGTGGGTAAGTTTCAGTTTTTCAGGGTGAAAAGTTCTAGAGATCCATCTTACAACATTGTGAAGTACTTAACACTCCAGAACTATATGCCTAAAAATGGTTAAGATGGTAACTTTTTGTGAGTTGTTTTTCACACACACACACAAAATTCTTCCTCCCCCTCCAAAAAGAATTGTATAGCTAGTCATCAATTTTTTTCTTAATTAGGAAAAATAAAATTAAATGCTTCAGACACTGACTGGTATTTGAAGGCAGGAAACTTGAACGAGTGCTTTGTACTATGAGCCTTCGGTTTCCTGCCTGTAAAATCCAAGGATTGTACGGTAGTTCCTGAGGCTGCTTCCAGTTCTGAAATGCTGTGGTTCCACATTTCATGGAAACATCTGTCCCCTGCTTGAATATCTGCAGAAACCGCTGGTGCATTTCAGAGTAAATTACTCTATGCTCACCTTGACTTGACCATTTTTCACCAAGATCTTAACTCTCCAGAGTTTGGGCTGTACATGAGCAAAGTTGTAAGCCAGCCGTGTATTTATGCCGTCGTAAATTCCGAAAACTTCTCTTGGTCTGACCTCTCTGCTAAAAGGAAAACTGAACAGCTCTTTTAGTAATGTTGCTGGTACCTCTGCCATGAGCCTTCCTTTCTGGTAGAAGATATGTCACCAGAACTAAAGCATAGCTCTGAGCAGGACATTTTCTTTCCCAGAAAATGAAATAGGATTTGAAGAGCAATAATGTGATGACTGATGGGGAAAGTAGGGCTGAAATGCTTTCCCAGGCTCCACCTTCATGTTAATACCGGTTTTTATTTGATTTAACTTCTCCTTGATCCCTGGCTGACTTCCGAGCGACGTCAAACACGATCTGTGGGAGAAATTGTACGCACAGTGTGTTTTGCAGCTCCACACCTACAGCTTCTTTCCCTAGATATTTATCGAGCACCCGCTCTATGCCGTATAATTATGAATTGATTTTATAAGCCTTCTGGAGGCAGAGTTGGGATAGAACTAAGCGGTCCATCAGAACCTCACAGAAGTCCCTTCTCACTCTGACTCTTTTCGAGACAAAGCCATGCTTC